TGCTGAAAATGATTTTCAGATTTTACCGCAAATACTCGACATCCTGAGAAGATACGGTCTAAAGAAAAATGTTTTGAATTGCACCTTAAAACAGTGACTGGAAATTTTTGTCTCCTGATTTTCATTGAGTAACACGTAAAACCTTTATGAATTTCCGAAATCAATTTTCGAAGAAGCCATATGGTACTTTGAATCGAAAACCTCTTGGAACCCGACATTCCGTGTATAGGCGCAATCGGATCCAGGGTATCGGCCTTCTCGGTTGTCCAGGCTCTATCTTCACCTTGACGTATTCCTCTTTTGCTTGAAAAATCCTAAATGCAACTGTCCGCGGGAAAATATGGGCTTAGGAAGGTACAATCCAATTCTTTTGAATTTTTGCCCTTGCCCCATTTGATGGTCAGAGTCGAAGCAACACGGCTCGGAAACCGTCGCCGCTCCATCTTGCGAGGCATCGTCGGGCCTCGCTTGCCATTTCGGATTTCTCGTGACCGTAATGCCGCGCTTTTAAGTCAATTCGTGGGGATCGAGCCCAGCTGGAGTGAGGCCGTCGATGAACTACATTGGATAATTATTTTGCTCTTCGTTATCCGAGACGACACTGTCGACCCCATAATAAGTCTTCTCCCGTTCGCCAGTTCGCATAATTATTTCAAGTTTTCGGTGAACAGAGTAAATGATCGCCCAAACGTGCATGTAAACAGGCAAGCATACCCTCTCGTATTTGTAAACATGTTATTTTTACACGCGCTGCCAAGAAAGTTGACTTTCCACAATTGTGCCAACGATGCCGCTCCGTATTCCCGCCTTTCATTCCCGAGAGTACAGAAAGACTTGGAAATGTTTAATGGAAAAAACGGCACGACCGGGGGAAGCGAGTCCCGCACGGCCTCTGGACCGGCCCGATCGCCCCGGCCGTCTAGGACCGAACCAGATCCAGCCTTTGGGCTTGGGTCTGGTCGGGCCGAATCGCGACATTTTTAATGTAATCGTTCCCCTGGTCTGAGACCATAGAATCCGTTTCGAGGATGTATCATGGGCACATGCTACCCTATCACACTAATAGCATGTAGGTAGGCTAATTTGCCTAAATTAGATTCGTCATCATTGTCCAGATCTACCTTATAAACGATCGTTCGTGAGTGGTTGAGTGACGCTAATTCTAACCATGTTCTAGATAAGATGAGAGGATGAATCTTGGCCCACCAATAGTTGTTAGGTGTCTGACTCCAGAAAAAAATTCAGACATTGGAGAAACATGCTCTGGGGGGCACACTTTGGGGGGATCTACTTTCGTAAACCTAGGCCTACCCCAAGGATGGACGCTTAGGCTAATGCCACCCACGCACACTTCCTTCAACAAAACTGAAAAAAAAAAACGCTAACAGCTCATAGGTTCTCGACTCCAGGCAGAGTCCGACCTCGGAGGTACGTGCTTGAGTAGCTGATGGGTTCCCGACTAGAGATGAGATCTGACATTGAAGGTATCTGCCGTGGAGGTACATTTCGGGAGGGGGGGGGGGGACAGATTTATTAGGCCTATCCCTAACCCATAGACAGACGCTCATGATAATGTCATTCTCATACTCCCACTCCCTTCAAGAAAACGGGGACACCAGCGTTTTTAGGTAGCTGACCCGAGAAAAAGCTCGACCCTCAGGTACATGCTCTAGGGACACCAATTTATTAAGCCTACGTGGAACAGACGAACGGACGCCTAGGCTTACACTACTCTCAGAAATACTTTTAAGAAAAAGGTAGTCGTTTTTGAGGAAGTTAGGATTTATTTAAGGAATCTATCCCAATCCCTTTGACAAGCCTACGCCACTCACAAAGTCTTTCTTTTTGGAGAAACGGGAATGAAAACATCCCGAGACATTGCGATATTGTAATCCTATTCTTAATCCAAGGATGAACGCTAAATCATACGCTACCATCAAATCAATGGGCTTTGGTATCGCCCATTATCTTTCTTCAACCCCTTCCGGCGACAAAATTCAACCATCTCGTATTTCTCTCTGAGGCCATGAACAGGAACGAAATTTGGCATGCTTCTTCCTCTCTTAACACATAATTGCTCCAGCAAATTTGAAGCTCCATCTCCCCGGCGTGGCGAAGATAACTGAATCTCGCTTTTGGGAGACGTGAAAGTTGCTCCGGTATTTTTTTTCCCACCCACCTGGGTAGCCACTCCTGGGAAGATTTCAGAGAAATTGAACTCCCAAATGAAAGATATTGACCTGGAGGTGACAAAGAGTCCCCTTTTTTTGCTTTCAGTGTACCAATTCGCCATTAAAAAAAAGGAAATTATATGCCGTTAATTTAGGCTTTGTTCAATGGCTCTGGTCCCGTCCTCCAGTGTTGCCGGATATCATATCTGCGTTGTCAGATTCATGACTATCTTCGGCCTTGGTATCGTTGTCTGGATCTTCCCTTTTTAATGTAGGAAACATTACTGTGCAGAATTCATGGGATGAGCAGAGATTGAAGCGGTGGTTTGCAGTGGCCGAAGGATTTGGTGGAATACGGAGATATCTCATCGGACATCCGTAAATTAAAATGATGGCGGCCAGCTCGTTTGTCATGCGCACTAAAGGCAATTTCTTCTCAGAACGAATCGAGACGATTCGAGGAGCTCTGGATAGGCCAATTTTTTTTCGACCGCACTAAAATGGCTCATGAAACTTGAAAAAAGACCTATATTCGGTCTAACGTTACACGTTCTCTGTTAAATGGGCCATGAGAGACTGAGACGGCCTGTTTGTCCTAACGTTACACGTCCTCGGCGAGGTGTCTTGAAGACAAGGGATTTATCCTTATAGGCCTAATTGGTCCGTAGGCCGAGGATTAAGTTTCTTTTGGAAGAAAAAATGTAGGCTTGGGCCTGGCCCGAAGACAGTCAGTCTGTTAGGCCTAGGCCTAACGTTTCATAGTTCCGTAGAGAAAGAAGGGGGGTGAGGGTGAAGTTGAGGTTGGGGTTGAGGTTGAGGAAAGGTAAAACCGTTGGTTGCCTCGTCTCTTTCTCCTCTCCTCGTGGACATGGACAGGATGGAAAGCCTGTGTCTGGGCATGGAGGGGGATTGTAAGAATGAGGCTCTAGCTTGAGTCAGTCTCCCCTGGTGGAGAAGCTAGGACCCTCCCAGCAAGGGAAGCTGAACTGCGTACATGAACTCGTGAAGGCCCTGCTCCTTTTTCAAACCGTGTAACACCCGTTTGCTGCACCCTGTATTCCTTTACGTTAGTTTTAGTGCCAACCCAACGGAATAGATAACAGTAAACCCCCATTAATTTCTGGAGGCGAGTATTTGCCCTGCCTTCAAAAGCCAGGCAGTGCTCACTATCCTACGCTTTATGTTTTGAATGGGCAGTAATCCTCGAGGTGTCCTACAGGCTGCTATCTCGTATTGGTCAATCAGTTTTTACTATGGGATGTTGAACCCTTCTGCAGTGGGCTTTACCAAGGTTCGGTGGTGTCAAGACCAAGTGCATCAATAATAATGCCATTAGAATTTAATTTCTGAAAACGTAATTACTCCCCTATGGACGACGATGATAATTAGGCGAAGATGAGCTGCTAGGAGTAAAGCCCATCAAATCCCGTCCGTAAAGGTTACTCTAAAAAAATGAATTTCAATAGAAGAGAAACTCTATGTTGCCCTGGTGATAGGTTCCTGAGGTGTGTCCACTTCCCTAATACCAGCACGCACTATTTGCCGTTCTAAATTTCTAAATCACAAGGGGGGCTTTACGAGTCCACAGAATCTATCTTGCGTTTTAAAGCTGATTAATAATGTAGTGTTGAAAAGTCATTGTTCATGCAACCGTTAGCAATTCGTAGCCATTCGTAATTTGATTTGATACTGGGACTACTAAGGGTGCGTATATACCTAGAACTGCTGGAGTAGTCGTTTTGACCACTTTAGTAAAAAATCATGTAAAACCATTATTCCATAATTTGGTATTTGCTGTTTAGGTTATTCATGCACAACAGAGCTAAATTTGAAGGTGAAAAATGGTCTGTTCTGAAATTTCAATGTGTGGAATCGTGTAAAGAATTTTTGGCAATGTACTGTAGAGTCTAGGTGTTATGGAATAAACACAGGCCTGATACTTATGCACTTGTGCAGAGCACTTGCCACACACTGCCTTTTCTCACACCGCATAGCTGTCGCGTATCCTGTTCCCCTGATAGCGATCATAGTCATTTTCATCATTAATTATTCCTACCACATTGCCGTGTCTAGATTCCGCTTCAGATAAGTCCTGTAATAACTGCAAGCACTGCAGAGCAGGTACACGTTTTCTCGATTACAATTACACTGCACAACAACTTTAAAGCAGATGCATATATATAACAGATGACGAGTTGACCATACTGTTTCCAATGGTTACAGCGTAAAAATATGGTTCCATTGCCTATTTCGTCTGATGTAGCCTACACTGTCAAGGTCTTGCGCTTCCAGCATGGGAAGTTCGTAAATGTGATCTACACGCGAGTGTTTTTTGGAGAACCCACGTTTGAAGGACTGCCATGTGAGGTTCACGCCACCTGATGACCTTCAAGTTCAACGTAATTTCCTCGCATATCCTGAAGATTTCTGCACGAGGAGTAATCCCTATTTCTCGAATTCACTTCCAACTTCTGTTACCTGGTTCCGCGCGTTTCTGCTTAAATAAATCTCTTTATATTTAAAATATCAGGCTTTCTATGGTTAAGGAGTCTTTCAGAGCACCACAGGGAAGAAAATATGAACGGGAGAGAACTACTGCACGAATGTCCGGCGTTAAAGAAAAATATTTAAAATATGATTGCCATCTGAAACTCAAAATCCTCCTGGATTGAAAATAACCTCATTGAATTTGTAAAAAATTATACTGGCACATGTCTTAGGTAATCAATGGGACTATTCCTCATGGCAAGACGAACTAACAGGAGGGAAACGAGTTTTCCTGGTTGAAGGACATAAAAAAAACAAATTGTTTGGATCATGATTTAATTACTAATGAAAGAAGAACATGAACAAATGGAGTTCCGACAATAGGAGTATGATGAGATGTCTTCCATCCTTCCACTCGTGCTGGAAATATTCTCCTTGTTCTCCATCCTTCACTTTCTAAAGAGAGAGAAGTTGCTTTTTTCATCATACAAAAATGTACTGGCTGTATTTTCGATAATCGGAAATACGATGGCAAAATCATGAAAAATCACAAACGTTTGGTCATCTTAGATAAGGTTAAATGAAGGTAGGTGGGGCACAGTGCAAATGACTGTACATTAAATGGTAACATACTACATGCTTTGCAGCAGTAGAAAGAGGATCATCATCAGGATTTGGAGCAGTTTTTTTTGCTGTTCTGGTGGGACATGCTTTATCATGTTGATAAGCATCCAGATGAGGGCAAGCAGCAGCTCCCTTGGTAGGGTCATCAGCAGCAGAAGAATAGCTACCTAAAATAAAATAAAAAATTACCCGAGTTTGACAAATTAGGCAGCAAATATTTTCCAAATAATAGATACTTTGCATCGATACCTCCAATATGGGGATTAGTTAATAGGCTATTGTCTGTAGCATTTATTCTCTCTCACCAAATCAATATTCATCATGGTCTTTATGAAGCCTTCTCCATTGAAGACGTCCACGAAGAGACTTTGCTTCAAAGTGCCAATGAAGGGGGTATTTTCATGGGAGATGCAATACTCGCTGTCTTCTGAAACAAACAAAACCATAGGTTCTCGTTCCCCTCTTACTTGAGACTGTCGCGACGATAATCCAAATAAATATTGTGTGCATATATAGAGTGGATTCTGTTGGAGTCTCACTCTGTGCACTCCATTACCTAAATTCTAATGTAAAAAAATGAAAAGATGCCAACCTTTATCACGAAGAGTGTTGTTGCAGGTAACATGTAGGGAGGACTGTTTATTCTTCACCTCCAAGTTCATAGAAGTCTCCTTAATACCCAGAGAATACTGGGGATGGAGAGGAAATTTTCAATTTGAAGCGCTGAGGCTAACTGATCATTTTGAGGAAAATACAAGTGAGAAATCGCTTACCTGATCGTTTTCTTGCCGTTTGGCTGTTTGGAAGTAGTTTGGCACCCCTTTCTCAATGTTCACAGTCATTTTTGTCCAGTTTCACTTGACCTATTCTAAGAAGAATGAAAGAATATATTAAACTTCTTTAAATTATTGATCAGGCCTTCAGGGTTCGAGGAAAGAGATGGAAGCCTTTGGTCAACATCTAAAATAGATGATCGTGACTGTGTGGCTGACGCCAATTCTAACGATGTTATAGAAATGATGAGAGGCTGAAACTTGGTACACGAATAGCTGTTAGATTGCTGAATCCAGGATGATTTAGACTTTGGGGATACATTCCCTGGGGAGCACATTTCGGAGGGACTGATTTTTTAAGCCCAGGCCTAACCCAAGGATGGACGCTTAGGCCCTCTTACATGCACTTCCTTCACAAAAATTGGAAGGAACGTGGATAGCCGCTAGCTTGCCAACTCCAGGGAAAATCCGACATGGTCGGAACATGCCCCGGGGACACATTAAAAGGGAGACTGATGTCGCAGGTGTAGACGTAACCCACGGATGGACGCATAGGCTAGTACTACCCTCGTGAAATTTCCCCCCTCCAGGAAGAGGGAGGGAAGGCAAGTAGCTGTTGGATTGCCTATCTGATCGAGAGTCCTGCTGCCTTTTGCCTGAGGCGCGAGTCCTTTCCGCCTATGCCTTCCTAAGTCATAAGCAAATTTGAGTTACGATGGTTGCTTTGTACCAGTACTCTTACCGATGTAAATGGATTACGTACATTTTCATGGCAGGGAAATTAGTAGGAAGGTTTTCCCATGACAATTCCATTCAGAGTGGCATTGCCCAATCCACTTATGGACGCGTAGGCCAATGCTATTTCTATGTCCACAAATTTATTCAGCAAAACGGGAACATGTATAGCTATGGGCTGCGTTTACGGAACGAAATATTTTCTCATGTTCAGCTGTATATAGACTTAGGAATACTTAGAAAAGGGGACTTCCTTAGAGTCCTTGTGACCGAATGTAAATATGATTATAGTTCAAGAACTGCCCATTGTCTACAAAGAATAATTGCGTTCAAACGCAGAATAAATGCGCTTGTGTGTCAGCTAATGTGTATTTTTGCAGGTTTATATGCAAAGAAGAGGGCGATGACCACCGACAGAAATCAAATTTAATATTGGGACACGAAAAGAACCAATGAATTTTTACCTGGTGAGTCTCATGCATATGTCACGAATCACAAAGAAAATTTTCTGAAGCAACTTTATTTTTAAAGTGTGTGGGCCGAAAGCACGAAAGCTGGATGATAGTCTTTTGTAATTAATATTTTTGTGATTAATATTACTTCAGGAGTACAACACTCTGAAATTCAGGGCCTTGGAACTGGCGAAAGACCAAAATTTGTCGGAAATCAATCGCTTTGGAAGCCTAACAGGATCGCAATTTCCAGCAACTGCTTTTTCCAGGCGATCAAGTGATTCTGTTCAAAATGCCTTCATGGTTATTCACTCAAGTGTGACTAACATAACTCAGGTACTAAAATAACTTTTGGTAATAATTTTGACTGCAATTATTTTGATATGACCATGACCGAAACTGTAGATGTTACCTTGCGTTAAGCCACAACCCATATAGTTCACAATTGTAAATCTTGAAGTGAAGCAAGAGTGAACAGAAATGTAACTAAAGATAGATGGCGATGCTGTTACAATCATACCTTCGACTGAACTAGCTGAATAGACGAAGGCAGTTTCTGTAATTAATTTTACCCTTTATAGATCGCCTTATCTTCTTGAGAAATGAAAAAGTTGCTGCATCAATATGAGTATCTTTCATAATGGGACATTAAAGTCCTCCCTCTCTCACATTGGCAGATTCAATTCCCCCCCCCCTACTTACATACTGGATACCTAGTGGATATGCAAAGGCACCTCTTGGAAGAATTCATCAAGCCCCAAAAAATAACTATTGCAATTATAAACTATACAAATGGCTGAGTTAACATCTTGAGCCATGCTCTTTCTATGTGGTCTCATATTGGGATGATTGGGGAACAGAAAAAGTCTTTTAAATTCCCCGACTATTTTTAATAACCAGAAGCAATTTTAGTATTGAGAGACTTCCTTCCATTGCAAGTCATTTCTAGTGACAACAATTTCACGGGCATCTTTTGTTTTTCCAAAGAACCACATCCTGCTAAATGTTAAAATGTCAAATACTGCCAAGTGTCCCAATGTTCCCCTCCCTCGAAGTTCAGCAGAACAGGAAATTGGGTCATGTGAATCACTCCCTACTTTCAATAAATATCCAAAATATATGTTTGCAACGTTGATTTTCTTATACCGAGAATTCCTTCAAGCATAATGAAATAAAACCCATCGACAATCTGAAATAAGACTGAATGACTTGCCCAGTAAATAATGTTTGTAAGTCATGAAGTATATATGGGTGTATTTGGTCAAGGTCACCTAACCCAACATACAAAACATTTAGTTGAAGAACACAAATTTCGAATCTGACAGAACCTACTCAATCTGCCCCATCAGACCCAAACCACATGCAGTTGTGAGGGCTCCCCAAGTGCAGTTGGTTCAAAGATTAAAATGTTTAGTGCCCCACTGGACTGTTGTCTCCTTCACCCAAGGCTTCAGATGGACAAACCCCGAATACCTGATCTACAGTTACATATTCTCAGATGAAAAAGGGAGAAGAAATCTCCAGAATCTGACATGACTTAAAGATCATGTAGGCCTTGGGAATTATCAAGAGGTTAGGGCATTTGTTTATATTTAGGTTTATATTCCCCATGCATCCTTATGTTGAATAACATACTTGTTATTAATTAATCCAAAATCACATTTGATAGCACCAATCCCTGCAAAATATTTATTTCTCTTCCTTCCCTTAGCTGTTTTTTCCCCACAATCTTGAGGCCACTGTTCAACTTTCTTCCCTAGCAGTTTTTCTTTTTTTCCCGTCAATTCCACTTCAGTAATGTATACTTTGCTAGACATCCTTCTTTCTGAAACCATTTTTCCTCGTTCTCTGAGGACAGGGATTGAGGGAGGATTCACTGAATGATGTTATGTTAGTCACAGTCCATTGATGGGCTAGGCCCTGAAATCTGGCAAAAATATTAATCGGTGGTTAGGCCTAATCTGCGAAAGTAAATCATGAGCTAATAAGCAAATGCATTGATTGTACGATTCACTGCTAGCGATATTTAAAAAATGCTGCAACTACCAAAATTATTGCATCACACCAAGTCCCAGGTAGATTTCTGTCCGGTGTCACTAAAACACTTAGGAAGCGGACATCCCTTAACATTATAACAAGCCTAGGTCTCACGTTCGCAAGCAAAAGCGTTCATGCTCTATGGAGAGTATTGGAGAAGTCTCAGATTTAGTCAAGTGGCTTACAGGTGTATAGTCATTTAAAATCAGAATGATTTTGAAATCTGTAAGTGTAGCGAGTCCTTAAACCTGACAGGTTTAAGGTAAAGCTCCTCCAAGTATTCAATTGATAATTTATCATTCTCACTCCCCTTTATAGTATGCACCCATCGCCTGATATAATTTGCCCTTACTAAGATTTTAGAGACAGCTTAACCTGGCCGAATGGGTATAACTTGAACTCGATACTCGGAACAATATATCTAACATAATTCATGAAGTGTCAGCTCTGAGAAGGGCCGAGTTCCGTTTCCAATGATTCCGATTTTAAACTGGAGATAACTGGCTTATTCAATGGACCGGTTTGACAGCCTAGGCGACTCTATGTAATGTATGAAGTCCCAAACCTGTACCAGAAGAGCAACAAAAGAAGAGCACGCCGGCACAATACTGCTTATGGCACGATGGCAGAGGAAGATGGCAGAGGTAGTTCGTCATCGAGAAGGGTGATTCAGCGGGATCTCGCACATCGATGCCAGATTTTGGGGCAGCCATGGGGCAGTCATGGAGCAGCCCAACAAAGCAACTACTGAGTCAACTATGAGAATCTGGCATCCAGATTTCTTCCATTTCCATTCGCGCCTGCATTGAGAATCATTGCGGTGCACCACGTGACTACTGAAGGGAGCCAACATGGAATCGGAACCCAAGCAAGAACTCCTGGCTCCATTGCTGCTATAAACATGGCCGGCCTTACCAGCAGGAGCACAACACATGTCAAAGGACACCCCATGAGCGACGAATCATCCCTGGGAGACCTCCAGGGCGTGGGTATGTCATAGGGACATGCAAGGTTTTTCTAGGGATTTTTAGCCACAGGGGAGCTGCATGCCTGAGGTAATTGAAGGCTACCCATTTGCTAATAAGTATGTTGCGGCAGGGCTTTAAGCTAGGCCATCAGGAGCAGTAAATTTCGGTCGGATGGGTGCTTCCGCAAATTTAGAAGCTTTTCGGAAGTGATTCTTCATGCAATATGATGACTGGTTCTGTGAGCCTACGAGTGACATCGTGTGCTGGGAAGTTATTGGCTTGGAGAGCCAGGCCTACCATGAACATATATGTTAAACGTTTAGTACCTTACATTGGCGCTCTAGTCAAGAATACACAAGTTTGTGATATGGGCACATCAATTTGCATACCGTATTTCAAGGAATTGGAGGGAATGAATTCCTTTACTTATTACATTTCACTTTACAACTTTACAGTTTTTGTGGTGGCTCTCTTCGCACCAGAGCCATTCCATGCCAACTGACCAGATTATGAGAACATTTTCGCCTGGCTCAAGAAAATGTCAGATATTCAGAGTCAACAGGACTTCTATTAAATTCCTGAATCCATTTTTTAAATACCTTTCTTCTAAATGATACATGAGAGTTTCGAAAGCCTCGGTTTTCAGACATATGTGACACCCTGAGCGAATTTCATCACTTTGATACCACGCCAGCTAAAAATGTGTCTGACGACTCATATGAATGGTCTGAATTACTAGAATGCAATTATTACCTGACTAGCAGAGGTACCCGGCGTTGCCCGGGTGAATTTTGCCCCCGTCCTTTCCAATTTGCCTGCTCTATCCCTGCGCAGGGCTGGATTAACCCTTTCAATCGCAACGTCCAGTTTTCCAGACGACGTAATTCCCGCCGTTCGATGTTGAATTCGGTTTATATTCGAGATGGTTTAAGGAACTCTAGATAGGTCTAACTTTCCACGTCTTCTCTGAAATGATTCATGAAATGCGAAACAGGTCTCACATTCATCTAACGTTACACGTCCTCTCTGAAATGGGTCGTGAGAGACTGAATAAGCCTGCGAACAGCCTAAAATAGGCCTGCGATCGGCCTAACATAGGCCTGCGATCGGCCTAATGTTATGTCCCCTCGATAAAATATCTCAAGACCACGGATTCACCCTCATAGGCCTAATTGGCCTCGTTAATCAAGAATTGAGTTTCTTTTGGGAAAAAAAAANGCTCAGTCGAGCCAAACCTGCCGTAGGGCCCTGCAGAAGCCTCACATTCAGGTCTCTTCGGACGCGGTTGACCCCTTACCGGAAAATCCATATTGCCGCGTTCGCCAGGGTCCACTGTGAGCAGAGGAAGACGCATGCGCTGCATATCCATGGCGGATATCATTCAGTCGGTCGGTTCTTGTCCAGTATTGGTTGGACTACTTGCATGTCGCGGCCTCCATCTGCAATTTTTTATTTTCTTCAGAACTTTCAGTTCTTACGTCGTTTCAGTTCTTGGTCATCCAAGAACTCTTAAAGTATTAGTTCATAAGTTATTTATTTCTCAACATAATCTCATGAAAATAGAAGCACATCAGGGGTGCACCACTCAAAAGGCTGTGAGGGCCATTTGCGACTTTTTCTCACCTACCGCAGGCCGCTGTCTGATCGACCATAGTTGTTGCCAACAAGACAGGAGCAATAGTGGCACTTAAACGCCACCGGTCATGGCGAGCCGCGGTCCGCACGATGTGCATCCCTGGTTAGACGAATGGCCCGAACTGTCGTCGTTCATGCATACCACGAGTTCAAAAATTGGAGCATCACCGAGGTAGATGATAGTCACAATGCGATATAACTCCAGTGACACGACCGATGTGAGGCCTGAGAATTACATTAGAATGGTATACTAGGGGAGTGCATCCGAGCGGACTCCCTGTCACAGCGATGCCAATTTCTCCACGTACTGGATGTCGATGGACGTGCTGGGCTCCAATCCCCAATCGTTTGATGCCTGGCAATCCATATGAGACGATCATGCACATTCTATTATTTATTACTGGCATTGATCGTAGCAGTTGTTGCCACTGATGGTCATGCAGGCATCGATCGGGATCCATCGAGTCATCCGTCCGGAATTTCCCCAAATATTTCACAAAGCCGTAATCTCGGGATCAAGAAAAACAGCTATTTTAAATCGTGATCAGTCCCACCCGCCAACCCCCCTCGACGTGGCAACTGACACAGTCCGACAATTCACATTGCATTCTTCCAAAAACAACCTCTCTTGGTCCTTGTGCGACTGCGCAGCAGCACTGATGATCCAGAAGCCCAGCGGATAAGGATTTATATTCAGTATGTAAATATTTCTCTGGTTCGATACGAAATTCACGATCGATAGCGTAGGAGTTCTTTCTATTTAAGCAAGAAAACGTGGAGGCGATCCTCAATGGGATTCCCACCACCGGAAGCGACCGAGTCCCGCTGGCCAATCGGGAATGCGCGTGGGATGGGAAGCGCGGAGAGCGAGGGAGGAGGGAGGACTGCCTAGGAGCGGACAGATCCGGGGAGGGAGGCGGTGTCTCGCATCCCCTTGCCAATCCGCTCCAGCCAGGGGAGGGCGATCCGTCGGCTTCTCGGCCCCCCTCCAGTCTGGTTTCCCTCACGGACCGAGTTACGCATGGGCTTATTGTCGTGATGCTTTTATCGGAGGCGTAAATATTGTCCTTGCATTTTCGTACCTCTCGCGGCTCATACATCTCTACATGCATCTCCAAAGTTGATTCTTCCGCATCGTCAAGACCAACGATGCCGATATCGGAATGACGCTCTTCATCCGGTAACCGACGTGCATTAATTCGGTCGACTCCATGCTCTTGGTTGAGATCGGCTGAATCGCCGTGGCTGACCGTCAAACTGTCGCGTCGTCTTGGGAGCTAACGCGTCAAACTTGTTTCATCGACGAATAGATGCAAACCGCTTTGTTCTGTTTTTCATAGCACCTGCTTGCTTGTCTATCATTGGTCTTCTTGACATCGTAAAAAAATATATATATTCCACTGTAAACTGCTTGGCATTTCCAAGTACATTGAGATGAACGTTTCGCTTTCTATTAGATGTAGCACAATTATTTTCAGTTTCATGCAATGCACTTAATTCATCAAAGCCAACCTAAAGTAATGATTTATGGACACAGCGCGATATTATAGTGCATCCGTTTCCGTTCGAATCGCGGATCCAGAGAGATGAGCGAAGGAAGACATTAGCGCGTCAGGCGACACTGGGTCCAAAGGGAAAACTCTATCATTAATGAGAGGAGAGGGGGAGTGAAGAAGGAAACCAGCGGCGGAGCTACCCAAAAGTCTAAAAATACATTTCCTCAAAGTCATAGGCGGCATCTTACCTCCTTCCCCCCTGCAAAAAAAGGAGGCAGCATCGCCCTTGGGTTCGGGGGTGGCCGATTCCATTGACGCTTCTCACCCTCATTACCCCCTCGTTAGGCCTGTGTCGCATAGTTCCGACAACCCCGCGATTCGAAGGGATGCACTATAACACAAGTTTCGTGCAAATTTATATTCATTTGGAGAATATGTTCAAATTTTGCGCGAAAAATAATACGACTTAGCATGTTTATGCATTTATTGAGCACAAGGAATTAATTTTAAAAGAATAAAACATCGAGAGAGGGACCTTCGCTCGCATAACAGAGCGTAGTCTTGAGTCTGAGTGCAACCAAGCGTTATAGGATTGCCCGTTCTTCAATCGCCTAAGAATGGGACAGACATCAGTGCCTACAGCCTTGAATTAATAGCACAAAAATACGGGGCAGAAGCATTTGTGCATCTCCACGCGCATTACACGAGCAGGAATGTCTTCACCCCTCTGACTGGATGGGGGCCGACTGGGAAGGGCGAGGATCCGGACTCCAAGAGACACCTTGCGTGAGCCGCTTCAAGTTTCAAGTTTAATGGGGAAACACAGAGGGCAGGGTGTCGCAGTGATGGCGCGGCCCATCTGGGGAACCGGCGTGAGGTCCAAAGCCATGCCAGTGTCGACTTTTGCATGCTCTCCATATCGGTGGTTTATCCAAGCAGATAGGTCTAAGAAATTCCCAAATTACAGAATTTTCTTGTCAATGCAGGTGTTAAACCTGTGCATATCACAAGTGGAGACTCCTATATCCGAGTCATCACTTTAATTTTGACCTACTTGGTAGAGTGGCCAAATGGAAATCAGTGAGTCTGCTGTAATTTAGTTTTGGCCTGGTTTCGGACTGTTCTCGACAGAGAAGGGTCCAGGTGGCACAAGCCTTCAATAGAGAATCAGAAGGGATTAAGTGATTGCTCCAAAAAACTTTTCTGGAACTGCTCTGAATCCTATAAAAGTTACCTGTGGGCTGGGGAACGTAGAATTACGAACTCCTACTTCTCAAAATTGAACAAGTCATTGAAGATTAGCATCGTAAATTTAACTTGTGGCAGCCTTGGAGGTGGAGAGGGAATAAAGCACCATCCCCAGGGGATCTGCTATATCAAATTGCAGCTACCCATTTGCAAGGTGCCACTGCCTGGAATCAATTCAGTTGCTCCAATGAGGAGTATGGATTAATTTAGGAAACAGGGCAGAGTTCATTAGTTCATGAAAACTGCTGCAAAAGTCTGCAAGTGGCAGCTGCTTAGAAAAAGTTAAGGCCTGAAGTTTAGGAAGCTTCTCTGAGTACAAAAGGCCAAAAAATTGTAAGAAAAAGTAGTCATCCAAGGCAATAAAGTTCACTGGACAGGGTCAGCTGACAGTACTTGTGGAAGTAATTCATCACATTATCAGGAGGTAAACCAGTAAATTCAATTCTAGGTTTAGGCTTGGGGACCCATGGTAACCAAATGCATCTGATCTAAGTCTTTAGTTACCTGTTTAACCGGTTTCTTTATTAATTTTCCTCCAGCAGATTGAATGTTTCCCTTTTCAAGTGACAGGCAGGACTGAACACTCCAAGACTTGAATTCAGTGCACCCAGCCAACTAGAACAAAATAGAAAGGGAGGTAGATAAGGAGAAAACTGATCAGGCATGCCTAGAAAACGAAGGCACGAAGATGATGGAGAGAAGGACCTACCTCCCAGACACCTCACAAATCCACATCAGACAAACCAGCAGAAGCGTCTCATAGTTGTCCTGGAAAATGCGCATCTTGATGTCATCAAGGTTTATTCTTTTTCATACAGGCACATCCAATTAAAAATATAGGATTAAGGCATGTTGCATTGGTTCATTGGGGTTCCATTGCCTTCAGCAAGAGATTAGACTGTAAAATTACCAATTGGTTCTAGACTATGCATACTTCTGTTCTGGGAGAGCTCTAGATATGTCAAATATATGTTAGCTGTAGGTTCCAAATAGCAGGCCTATGTAGCACTTAAGAAAGGTTTATTTTACTAACAATTGGTTCATGGCCTGATGATCACAAACATGACTGTATTTCAGGTTGGCAATAGCTTCGAACTGTTGAATTGCGATGACCACTCTGGACAGATGAGGAAACTAGGTCGCGACCCTGGCTCAGCCCGGCCAGACATCACACACCAGTGTCTACTCATGCTTCTTGACTCTCCCCTCAATAGAGCTGGACTCCTGCAGGTCTCTCTTTTCTGCTTTGAATCATAATAAATGAGTCTCAGGAAGAAGTGGCTCATGTTACTTATTTATTCATGATTTGTCTGATGGCATTTTTAAAGACTAAGTAAAAATATATGCATTGCAGCCAGGGTCAGATTAAGGCAGGGGGGGCAAAGGGGGCTGTTGCCTATTGTCCCAGGGGCAAAAGCCCCCTCAAAGGAAATTAAAAACATTAGGTATTTGCATAAAGTGGATGGGGGGAGGAGGGAGCCCCAAGAAGCCTGGCCTCACAACTTCTTAATCTGCGAGACTAACGTCGATTAAAAACACTTTAACCTTAAAATTACAAGAAAAGGTGGAAAGTCCACATGTATGTGTGTCTCTCCTTACAGGACTAACTCTAGGTAGGGGTCTGTTCCCAAGGAGCTTGTATTAAGAGATTTGCAGGCCTTATGGGTGAGTGCATGATTTTCATTTGTTTTCCTTAAAATTTAGAGAGTACACCAAAAAGGAGACTCTCGGTACTTCGGGTAGATCGTAACTTTTGAACTTTAAAGGGTAGATAGGATTTTCAGTCGTTACTTGTGGTAGGGTGTTTTATACAGGTAGTTGGATACTAAGTACACCAGAGAAGAAATGTAGTACTGAGAGTAGAAAGTGAAGTGGATGATTTGTTCTGGTCTTTTTCACAGTATCTTTCTGTCAAGAATAGAAAACCAAGACCACTAGCCTTTTTTGCTGCATTTATGAATGAAGAACATGTAGCTTGATGTAAAATAAATCAGACACATAATCTGATTGCTCTGACATTATTCCTTTGCCTAATTGGGTTCAAGTTAATGTGAAGTCCAGTCTCAATTTGTATCTAAGAATGAGGAAAGAAATTTATTGAAATTGACTTGAAACATGTCCTTGACTATTTTTATTAATTATTTTTTCATTATTTCTTTCATTGGTACTTTTTGTAAAATAACATGCACATTTTGTTAAGGAATCTAATTTTATAACTAGAGCTACCAGAGTGGTTAATTTGACCAGCAGTTCCCAGACTTATTTGAATCATGACCCAGTTGCTGACGTACAGAAAGTTTTTCAACCCACCAGAATCCAGAACAAGATAATTTCAGAGTTATTATGACATGAAGAAAACTGATAGACCTTTCCTGCAGGGCTTGTTTTATCCTGAGCAGATGCAGATATAGTGATTTCTTATACTGGGAAAATGTATGTGACCCACAATTTGGGAAATGCTGAATTTGACCACTGCATTAAAAGTAGTATAAAACTGTTATTCTCTAACATTTTATCTGTTTTATGCAAATGTTGTTTGGTATGTTCACAATGTTGATATTTAATTGCGAAAGTAAAAACTACAGATGCCCTTAGTTGCCAAATGAGCAGGGTAAAGGGGAGTAAAGGGGTATGAGTGAAGGGTAGGCAGGGGAAGGGTAAGGGGAAGCATGAGTAAAGGGGATTAAAAACTGGCAAGCATAAAAATGACTGTGTTCTATTGTTATGGTTGTTTTAAAAATCAAATTGGCTGCCTTATTCCATTGTGACCATGTGTAATTTTATCAAACTCCTTGAGCACATGCTGAATGAGTCTTTGAGTGCAGTATTTGAAGATTGAATCAAAGCTGGTCTGCACCATAACTAAAGACATTAATATTATTCATTAATAAGACTTATTCTCCTCATTACTACAGTAATGGGTCGTTAAGTTTTCATTCCTTTCATTCCAGTCCAACTACTACACAAGTTGAGCATCAAATCAACTGAGAACTCCATTAAGCTGCTGAAGGTGATCAAGAATCCAGTAACTGATTATCTACCAGCTGGATGCAAAAAGATTGGCACCTCATACCAGGCAAAGGAGTTGGTTCGACCTCGTGACCTCATAACTCCAGGCATGAAGGAGCCTGTTGTCTATGTTGTTGGGGCAATGGCTCATGGAAAGGTGAATTGCACTTCTCTAAATGTCTTAATAGGGTTAGCAAAAAATCAACATCAGTTTAGCTATTTGCTTTGGATCTTTCAAATGGGTTAGCTAGAAGTTATAGATTCTTCATTTCACAAAGACACTTAAATGTTACCTTCAATATGAATCCTCCCTATGAAGCAGCAAATGAATTTGCCTTTGCTAATGTGGAAAATCTGCCACATCTTAGCACTAATTCCAGCCAGCTTTTCTTGCACCCCTTAGAAGTGCTCTCTTTGCAACCAAAATTTTACCAGTTTCTCTAAGGCTGCAAGCAGTACCCTGGTTTTCAGTGTTAAATTCATCAGCCTGCTAGCTTGAAAGAAGAGTCAGATTGAATAGAAAGGCATTTCTGCAATCTCCAGGCAGATCTAAGAAAATTATTGTGCATATGGTAAGGTCATCTTATGCTTTCAGTTTGAGAGGTACCTGTTATCCCCCTTACCTTGTGCTATTGTCAGCTGTGCTTAGTTTTCATTATGGTAATAATACACACCAATGAATGAAGCTGAGTCTGAGGAACTGGTCCTTCATAACTCAATTGTAGAAAACACAAGAAAGCAAGGAGATGAAAATGGAGAAAAGTCCACTTGGAAACAATGCAAAATGTTTATATTGGAACATTGGTGAGAGCTACTCTCACCAATCAGTCTCAGTTTCTGTCAAATACACCTCTGGTGCAAGTTGAATACATGATCACAAGTTTTTTCTGTTCCTCCTCTCAGGCATTGATTCATGATGTGTTTTCCTTGAAAAATGATTGTATTCCATAATTATGCTGGATCTTGTTTCTCATTCTGACATTTTCTAAAGTTTCATAGTTGCAATGACTCATGGGTAGAGTATTGCATTGAAATGAAATAAGAGAAAATGAGGAATTTGAATGCTATTTCTGAAGTATGCATTACTGGATTTTGATTCTCATCGATGAACTTTTAAAGTTCATTGTACACTGTTTCTGAGAATTTTTTTTTTAGGCCTATATTGCTTCAGGAGGTCCATCATGATGACCAAATTATCTCATTGCCCAGAAAGTATGCTGTAGGCAATCCAATGTTGAGAGCCAATGTGTTTGACCATTTTTTTGTAGGTGGGTGTGCTGGGCTGTCAGGGACCTACAGCCCAGCCTTCCACCATGTATTATTCTAGGAACCAAAATTTCAGGAGTCTGTAAGGACTGTCATCATGCAAGTCTATGTTAAACATGGCATGAGAGCAAAAAAAACCCTGTTGCTTTTGCCAAACTGGTCACAAGATGACTTGCTTATTAAAGCATGTCTCTCGTTTCAGGTGAATGTGGATTATACTGAGAAGGAAGTGGCCATCAGTGAGTATCCCTTATCAGCTGCCCTCACATGCACAAAGCTGTTGAATGCTTTTGAAGATGCTTGGGGTATCACGTGAAGCTGACTTTCATATTGTTGATGTTTGAGGTTGGTAAACTTGACTTTTACTGAATACACTCTTCACCTATGCTGGAGTAGCAGTTGACTGGATTTTTTCCAAGGCTGTAGTAGCATATCAGAGGATCATCTGGCATCATGGTGCATTGACATGGGGTGTAGTAAAAAATCAATTCTACAAGACAAGAAAAATAAGTTGGACTAGCTCAGTCCAGTACTTGGCCTTTCTCATGGGGAAGCCTCATTTTATTTGAACAGAATTCAATCGCATTTTGAATTATGATCGCTCCAGTTATTTCTGGACAAGGGACTTTTAGATATAAACTTAAGTGTAAACTAAGAAAAACTTATATAATTTATGGCCTTTGAATGACAGAAGCATGAAGACAACCATTGCTCCTTCACACATCACAAATCCTTATGAAAAATGAAAAATTCAGAATGAAATTCCCACATGAATGAAATTACCACAAACTTATAAAGTGAATACTACATATACAGGGTGCGTAAAAAGTTTAGTTGCAAAGTTTAAATGTTATTAACTTTTTGAATTCATGACAAAATTTTTTGAATTTTTTTGTAGCTTGTTCTTTTCTTTGTTTAGTTTAATTGTAAAGATATACGAGGGACACTCAATAAGTTATCTACCTGAATATGAAAGGGATGAGCAACAGGCCTGTGCCTGCTGTGACATGTCTCGACAGGTCTCGTGAGTGCCCCACCACTATACCAGCTCAGTGGTTCAAGTCCGTTCAAAGTGGTAGTGCATTAGATTTCTTTTCCCGAGTCTGTGTCATGGATTTGACGAAAGTTGAACATCGTTCAGTGATCAAATTCCTCACCAAAGAAGGAAAGCACCTAAGGAGATTCACGAACGTATGTCTAACGTTTATGGTGCGTCTTCGCCTTCTTATTACCAAGTTAAATTTTGGAGCAAGCAGTTTAAGTGGGGAAGAGAGTCAATCGAAGATGACCCAAGGTCGGGGCACCCTGTGGAGGCTTCTGATCAGGAAATGTGTGACAAATTGGAGAGTGCGATACTGGAGGATCGTCGCACCAAAGTCTCTGTTTTAGCTCATGAACTGGGGATTTCAAAGGGCACAGTGATTCACATTATTCATGAAAAATTACACATGTCCAAAGTCAGTTCTCGATGGGTCCCAAGAATGCTGACTCCAGCTCAGAAGAAGAATAGACCGGACATCTGCAAGGAAAACTGGAGTTTTCTAAACAAATCGGGGAAACTTTTTTCCCAGAATAGTAGGTGGTGATGAAACTTGGGTTCATCACTGGGATCCCGAAACCAAGCAGGAGTCCATGCAGTGGAAGCACAAGGGATCACCAATGCCTCGCAAATTTCGTGTTCAGAAATCTGCAGGAAAGATTATGGCCATTGTGTCTTGGGACAGCAAGGGACTACTGCTGCTTGAGTTCATGCCAGACAAGTGTACAATCACTGACGATTCCTATGCTACCACCATGAAAAATTTACATGATACCATAAAGGAAAAACGCAGAGGAAAGTTGTCGAGGGGGGTCCTTCTTCTCCATGACAACGCCCCCGTCCACAAATCATGGAATGTTCAGGCAGCAGTGAGGGAGTGTGGCTTTCAGGAGCTGAACCATCCTCCCTACAGCCTGGATCTGGCTCCTAGTGACTATTTTCTGTTCAGACACTTGAAAAAATTTTTTGCAGGGAAAGAGATTTTCATGCAATGAAGAGCTGAAAGTTGCCGTTTCTGATTGGTTTCATGGACAAGAAGTTGACTTCTATTCCCAGGGAATAAAATCCTTGGAATCAAAGTGGATTAAGTGTGTCGAGTTAAAAGGTGACTACATTGAAAAATAAAGTGTTATTTTTCCCCTCGGATGTTTCTTTCTTATTCAGGTAGATAACTTATTGAGTGACCTTCGTATATGTTTATTTTTCAGATTTATTCTAAATGAGGAGCAATAATAGAACTTTTGAAGAGCGGAATGAAGTAAGCAGAAATTGCAAAACAGTTCAATATTCACATCATGACTGTGTCTGGAACAATCAAGTAATATCAGGAGCTTGGCACAATATCTGACTAAGAAAAAGTGGAAGACCCACTATTGCTCGCACTTCTGCCAACCGACAACGCATGAAGAAACAAATCAAGCGAAATTCACAACTGTCAATGTGGGCCATGGCAAAAACAGATGAAAATCAGTGACTTTTCAGTGTGCAAAATGGTCAAAAATGAGCTAGGGTATCACTCTTCCAAGCTGACAAAGGTCCACTTCCTAACTGAAAAAATGAATGGCAACAGGCTTGAAAAACCATGAAAATAGTCGCTGCTGGCCACCATTCTTCAATTCCTTTTACAGGTGAATATTTTTTCACAGTTGAACAAAGCCACAACCATCAGAACAATTGACAATTGTTGCAAAAAGGTTCGTCAACCAATTCCAATTGAGAGATCATCAGTCGCAGTAATTTTCCAGTGTGCCAGTTGAGGATTTCGTTTTGTAAAGAGCTCTTTTCAGAAGTGTGGGACTGAAATGTTTGGCCTTGAAACTCACTCGATCTCAATCCAATGGATTATTCTGTCTGGTCAATCTTGGATAAAAAAAAGCCTCGACTACAAGATACAACTTGGTGGATTTGCTGAAAGTGGCCCTGATAAAAAAGCCTGGAGTCAAATAACAAAGGAACTTGCATTCATCATAGATAATTTTCTGAAGAGAATCAAGGCTGGTATCACTGAAAATGGTGGCCATATTGAAAAGTGACTTTCATAATTTGTTTAAATTGCTGTTTTTCATGTGTATACAAAATTTGGTATGATTTGGTCTTGTTTTAGAAAAGTTATGTATCAAAATATTTGCAGGGCTTGAACTAATTTCCTTGCCTTAAGGGTCCTCAAGACTCTCAAGTCTTATAAGAAAGGGTCACTCAGAAAAATTTGGGGGTCCCATCACAATTGAAGTGCGATGAAATCTTGCAAAGTTGCACAAAAAGTTTCAAGTCCCACAGTCAATGTTTTTTCTTTGATTTAACATGACCAAAAGCAAGATATTCAATCCAGCAGCTTTAGGACATTCCACCTACTTCCAACATTTTCTCTTTAACAAATTTCCCTAGGGCATCTTCAAATTTTCACATTTCAAACTTCTGCTTATTACAACTGTCAGATGCTGAGTATGGATTTTTCTTATTTGTATTTGAGCAGAAATCACAGGAAGCTCTTCCATCTCTATAGGAAAGCCAGGAATACATTTTGACCCACACCTTTTTCCATTTTTAAAATACTTTTTCCATCATTGAGATTCATGTGCTGCCCATTTTCATAATCGCCCACGTCCATCTCTTTCCCTTCAGTTTGACTCAGTCAAAGCCTATGGCAATCTTCCCTTCTTTGTGCACCCTAACTGGAATGATCACCTTCACCTTTGTTTAGAATTTATGCCTACACTGTTGATACCTTTCTTTATGTGCCATTAGGCCCATGTTCAGGACCATCTGAATGCATGCCAATGTGTGACTTGAATAAGCTAACATTGTACATTTTCTACTTGTAACTGAACAAGAAGATTGTTGGCCCAAACCACCCTGAAGTCTAAACTGAAATGAACGGAAATACATTATGAACGGGTGAACACAATGCGCCATGCGCCGCTCTTATCACTCTCATGAGGCACACCATCCTTGGCAAGGACCCCCCCCCCCTTCCTGTCACGGTTGCACACAAGTTTATTTAGGCATGGTTCTAAGAGGCAACTGCCAACCAGTCTGAAAACCAGTAAAAAAAATTAGAACTTTCCCATGCGTCCCTTCAGAATTTTGTGTGTATAGGACGCACATCTGCATGTAAACGCAAGCCCTAGTTTGCAACTGAACTTTTCACACACCCTGTATATTGGCATTAAATGTCTGCAAATTTAATGTCAATGAAGAAAAACAGGCAGTTCTAAATATTATGAAGGAAAAATAAAAATGGACAGAACAGACCTATGTGAGTCTCCTTTCCATTTATGATAAGGGCCGTCTAGAAAGGGACAGCAATGGAATTTATTAGAATGAAACCTCTGAAGAAAATCCCATTGCAGCAGTAAACCTGCTTTGAGTGCATCATGAAAAATTCAAGCAACAATGAGATACAAAGGAAGAGGGGAAGGAGGATTTATTATTCTATTTCCTGATAGATTTGAGATAGTCCTATTGGAGTTTCCATGTTTGGTGCTAATTTCATAATTTCTTTCAGAAAAATATTTCCAAAACTGTCTGTTAAACCTATTTTACCTTTGAACAAGGTAAAAATCTACTAAGCTTAGAAGTAATGTAGCTGCAAATTTTTCACCCCATTTTTTTTCAAAGGGAATGGTTCATGAAGCTCAATTGGAAAGGGATATGAGGGGCACATTTTGGCCATATGCTAATGCTATAGGAGGGTAGGAAGTAGAGACGAGGAACCTCCCCTTAACTACCTGAGGCCATGGTCCAGTTTGCAACAAAATGCCTGAAATCATACATTTCCCCACTAGTTTGATAGGTTTTTTTTCCCAATGCTTCAATGCATTCCCCCAGGTTTTGGTAATTTTACTGTCAATTGCTTTGCAACAGCCAAAACTTGTTTATTGTCATTCAATGGGTATGAAATGATCAGTGACAAATATATCATTTATTAAAATATGCACAATTCAACAGGATTTTTAAAATGATGCTTGACGAAGTGATATTGTTCTCAATTACCATGAACCAGTTTTTTGCTCAATCAAAAAACAAACAACTTTATGAAACACATCCCTGTACTTGGTCCCCAAAATAGCTATTGGAACGTTGTCAAAAATGGAAGCACACACAGATATATCAAATCATTTTTTCCCATCAGACAAATTGAACCACATCAGATTATATCACAAAGTAAGGCAGTGAATCCCTCCTGTGTATGTAAAAACAATGAATTGTTATAAAAAGCTCAAAAAGACCTGCCAAACCTTCTGGCATTTGTACCTGAGGTTATGGAAAACGAGGTTCAAGACCTTGTACTGAGAAATGGCAATATCTGTAAGTAGAGCCTGATTCAGGCTGGAGAATTTCAACATATATCATAGTCTTACCTGAAGAATGCAACAAATGTGTACATAATCTCTACTCTACCAGTAAATGTTCAGCCTAAACAGAATACCTCCCACAGATGCATATCCTTGCACCTAAGACTTGTAGTTTCCCACCTACTGCTACTATGGTTGAGGGACTTGCAAGTCATGTTACATCAATACTATTAACAAGATGAAAGTGACCACCTTCATATAATCCAGCAGAAATATCCCATAAAATTTCTATGAAAGTCTCTATTGTAACAATGGACAAAAGATCACCGGTCTAGGAGGCTGTAATGGCAGGTTTGTTGGTTGTGGTTCCTCTGACATATGAGAGCATCAGATCACAGTGGCAACCCATTCCTGTACAAATCCCATAGTGCCCTTAAAAATTTCTTCAGTAAATGACCATCCCTGGGCTGCCTTTAGACTATTAACAGAGGGTCTTCTAATCCCCACACTCAAGGTACAAGGGGCCCCCAGAAATACTTGCTGGGACTGGTTGGATCTTCAGAGAGAAAGAAATCCTTCCCCAGAGAGACAAACTCCTCCAGGCTCAGCAGACCATCTCCGTTGGTGTCAATGGCCTTGAAGGTGTTGACTGCATCCTGGATGACCAAGACAATGAGCCTCTCAATGGTGGGATTAAAAAACTATGAACAAGAAAGCTCTGAGTCCTACCTGATCTGTCAAACCAAGGCAGTTGAAGAATGCCTTGAATTCTTCCACGGAAATCTCACCACTCCCATCATTATCCACAGCCTAACAGGAAAAGAAACTTTGATTCATGCAACAAAGAGTATTAGAAAAAAAAGATAACCAGAAGAGAGAAAAAATTGCTTCTGACAGAGAAAGTCTTTTTTTTTTTATGGTCCCCATTAAATAGAAAACTGATTTTCTGGCATGAATAGGAGCATGGGACTTGTGGTAAAAGCAAAAACTTCAATACTCAAGTACAGTATTAATACAGGTGGGCCAATTGCATTGGTAATGTCAGTCATGAAAATACTTCAAAATAACTATTTTCAATCAAAAGGCTGAAGGTGACTTTCTGAATTTCTGAACATCATCCAGGGTTGCTCTGGCATTTGAGATCTATTATATGAGCAAAAACTTTCTATTTACAAAACCCCAAGCACAAAATGTCATAATACCTTCACGTCTAGGCTCTCTGTTCCTTGGCTTGTTATGTTACATTTATCAGAGATCACGGGCATAGGATTTGGTGCAGTCATCTGCTTTTGACCTGCCTGCCTCCCCCCCACCACCACCATGAGTAATTTTTCAACCTCTTTCACATTGGAAAATTATACCATTCAATTGACCAAATAGGATTGACAGCTTTGATTTTTTGTGATGTACAAAAGAATTAAAAAATGAGAATCTGGATACAAGAATTAAAGCAGTTGGGGAAAAGGGTATTGTAGGATGTGAATGAGTTAGATAATTGACTTCAGACAATGTTAGCAAAGCAGAATCAGTAATGCATCATGATAGAATACCTTGAAGAAGAAAGGCAAGGGTGAAGCCACTTTCTTCCTAAGCTCTGGAGTGTTAACCACGTGCTGCATGCTGCGCAGGAACTCTTCAGTCATGATGAAGGCATACGGATCTGTCGAAGCTCCCCAGTATTGTTCCCAGAAGTTCTGAAACAGACAGTTCCTCCTCTGTAACCACACATCAACAGCCAAAGAATATCAAAAGTCTTCCAACAAGTCTACCAATTTGGAGCCCTAACCATGAAGAGCCAACTCTGCAATTCATCTGCATATAATGTGGTCATGTTGTTGAAAGAAACCAACTCATTGAGTTCAACATGCAACATAACTCATGCACAGAACAAATGGATTCTGCCTCAAATCAACATGAAGCTATATGATGAACAAACTTGAGAACACTTATTTTACAGACTTTGAACCATCTTAATTTATAAGAGCTCTGCCTCACCCTGAGAGTGCTAACAAATGAGGCCTGCTGTTCTGCTGTCAGATACCCCAGCTTTGCAAATCTCTTGGCCATCTCATCAAAGTCGTCCCAAGACACCGTCCCGTCCTTGTTGACGTCGATGGCATGGTGATGGGTGCGCATCTTCTGCTTCCAGAATGCACTTTCACCCTGCAAATGTGACCTCAGGATCAACAGCTATAAAATTCTGGCACAAGAAGAGTTTTAATTTAATCACTGCACAAATAAATCTAGTCATGTGTGTCTAGAATGACCACCCATTCCGGTTTTCAGGGACATATTGATAAACACAATATGCAATGTATATTGTGCAATGAAAGAGAGCTGAATCCTCTATACAGGTCTAGACCCACTTCTTTGTGGAAAGCCAACTGACCACTGACCCTTTTCACACCAGGAACATCATCATCGCTGTCGGAATCCGAATCTTCATCCGAGTCCGTGTCTTCGTTGGCAGTCCTCTTTGATGCCTTCTTCTTGCTAGAATCCAAGCTGCCTTTCTTTGTAGAATACAGCCTTTCCTGATTTAAAAAAGAAAAGAAAGTAACATATGTGAGGGAGGCCTAAGACTTCAGTTTCACAAATGGGTTAGGCCAAGACAAGGATAAAATCCCAAAGTACCTGAATTGACATAAACCTAGGTGATCCGATCGCTATGCAAGAAACCCTCTGCATCGGTAACGTGAAGGCTTGGGAATGCCATGTTCTCTCGGCTCCCTATCATAAACAGAAGGTGACCTATATTCAAAGCTCTTAGAGAACAACGACATCCACGTCGCTGAGCTAGTATCCCTTCCCCCTAAAGCCGACGAAGAAACGAACCTGGACGACTCTAACGTTCTGCTTTGCGAAGAAGCCGAGAGCATACCTCCAGCAAATCCTAGGAGCAAACATCCCGCTTGACTACCAAGTCACGCAAGTGCAGGAACAGATGAGGTCAACGTGACGGGTTGGATGGAAAAAAGAAAACATCGTTAACAGTGACGCCAAAACGGGAGCGGAACCATACTTGTTACGAGTATCATTTATTTAGTCCATGCGCAAAGTTTGGTAATTCAGCCTCCAGAACTCGACCTCTTCTTAGATGAACACTTAAATTGTTCGCGGCATCTAAGTAGTAAATGGTGAATGGAGAGGGCATGCACATAATTGCAGTTCGTGACTCTGGCAACCTGAATTGGCTCCTCTGCATATCCACGTGCTTTTCCACCGAGGTTGTCGCATGGTCTCTGTGTATGTTAAAGAGATTATTAAGGGAATTTCTACCACACGTTGGATTGAATGTGGATCTCCCATGAAAGAAGTGGCTGTATGGAGCTCATGTTTACGTCAACCGTGAAGTAGTTTTAAAAAATCACGCTTCAACTCCTAGCGAAAAGAAGAGGGATTGATTGCTTTACCCCTTGGGTAACGGAGAAAGGAGGAAGCACTACCTTTAGAGTACAGATTGTTGGTCAGAGATACCCAGAACGGATTAGGTGATTTTTAATCTTTTGCACCTCCTACCCCTTTCGGAACGCGTCAACCATTCGTTGTCACAATGTCACTGCCCCTGGCTAAATCATTTACTGCAATGGAAATTAAGTCATTCCCGCTTACACCACAGCAGGAGGGGGATGATATTAATCGATTGTATACATATAAAGCGTTTTATTTTTTAAGGCTTCATTAAGAAGAGGGTAATAAAAAATACTGGGCAAAGTAGGCTTCCACAAGTTCAATGGTTTTCTTCACTGAAGTGCTGGTGTTTTTCTGTCTTTCTTTATGAGGCCATTAAAAATGAAGTGATTCCCAGATATACTTCCAGAGTTTCTGCTTCAGTTGATTCATGAAACTCCCTCTTTGGAAAGAGTCTCTGCTTACAGTTGATGGAACTGCTACTATTGCAGGAGGTCACAAATTCCATCCATAGCAATGCATCCTTCAGCAATGCTGAGCCTGCTGCTTCCTTCACAAGTCATAATTATTGAATCCAATGTTACAATAATCTTGTGAAACTCTTAGCAACATCCACCTTTCCCTATTTTTCAGAGTAAATTGTTTAATGCCAAATGCCTCGTATTGCCTCGACTTTGGGTTTAACACATCCCAACAGAACAGAAGACACCAACCAAGGTGTTGTAACAACAGTCAAAATTTTATTTTGACTATCAATCCCAATGTAACTTTATCTAACCTGGGTTCACACAGGGAGTGCATGGTATACTGTAGGTCATGGAGTATTGCATAGGATATCATCTTTACTTAACCTCAACTGACAGGACCAAATCTAGGCTAGCATGAAGTTTGATATATCAATATGGTAACTGTTCAGGATGTGCATAGAAAAGCCAGAAATTGTAGCATGCATTATTGGATGGGATGGAATGGTGGAGGGAAAACCATTGAGTGTACAAACAGCTGCCAGAGAAAAAAAACAAAGGGAAAGAATATCCAGCCCAAAATGAAGGGGACCTCAACTAGAAAGAAGTAGATGATGTGATGAAAAAGTTTTCAATGCCTGGAGGCTGGCAAGGGGAAAGGAAGAAGCATATGTTCTTATGGTAAGGGCATGAAGGGAGTAAGCTGTCATACCAGAAAGGTAAAAAAAGAATATCTGCCATGTGAAGGTAGGACTAGAAGCACTCTCTGTAAAATTCATGCATCAGAGGAAGTGGAATGGTCAAGATGAAACTCACAAGGCCTCACACACAATTCATAATGTTTGAAAGAGAATAGTTGTATATACTAGGTTGGCCAAAAAGTTCTGCAACACTTGCGAAAAAGTTTATTTTTATGCTCATTTTTGTTAATTTTTGTGTGTTTTATGCACAATTTTTGTTGTTTTTGTGTTTATCGTGTTCCGGGTTCATCTTTATCCTCAAAGTTTCAGATGATTCGAGTCATTTGATCAAGTTGAGGAAGCGTGCCCAGAGTTCTTCGATTCGAAGTTGGCAGAATGGTATTTCAATCAAATCTGGATGCTTGCAGATCGGTGGCAAAAGATTGTTGAAAACGATGGCCTTTATTTTGAAGAGTAGTTCTTATTGTTTTTAAATAAATTTGCGCATAAAAATCAACTTTTTCGCAAGTGTTGCAGAACTTTTTGGCCAACCTAATATGTAGATGTTAGGGATGGATGGAGAACTTGAGCCCAATCCCATCCTGATGGACTGTATAGGTGCGTATTGTCTCCTGCCTAAATTGGAATTCTCTCATCCTCAATTCATTAGAGGAAATGCAGGGAAGGAAATTGTCCTAAAACAAAGGAATTCTCAGGTGTCATCACAGTAATAGGCAGTGGCATAGGGAAGGGGGGGGTTTAGGGGGTTAGAACCCCCCCCTTGGGCTTCCTTGTCAGTGACACTGACAGGCATATTTCAACCTTTGGAATTGCAATTTTAGCTATGCCCCTTCGAGGAAAGTCTGATGCCCATCCACAGACTCAAGATGCCAGACCATGATTTCTTTGAGGAGGTAAAATCCTGGTAGTGGAGCTAGGCGGAGGGTTGGGGTGTCTACCTGTCCTCAACCCCCCCTTGCTGATTTCCTACCTATGCCACTGGTAACAGGCGAGTGAGTTGGTGCAAGTCTTTGTGGCTTCAGAACAAGAAATTGGAGGAAAAACCAGAAAGAGAGTGAAAATGTTAAAGGGAATGGAGAGATGATGATTGAAGGAAATGAAGCACTGAGCTTGTTTGTGAGTGAGAGAGATCATGTTTATGTATTTGATGCTAGACTTGTTAAAGGGAAAATTCCAGAATACAGTTATATTGCATCCATCAGTGTTTAAAGATCACGAGAAGGACTGGCCGGCAGCGGCGAAGGATCGACAGCGAAGACTTTGTTGCACTGTTGCCATCTGCAAATGCAGAGAGAATGCTGTTCCCTTAGCTTCATTCTGATGACTTCTGGATGCACTCAAAAGATTCTACGAACCTCGTGGATTGCCTTGTCGTCTCGGTTCCTCTTCCTCCCCTCCTTCCTCCCCAATTTTGACCATTGCTTTTGGCACCTTTCAGCCAAAATAACTTTCATAGCTTGTGTTTGTCTCCTTCTCAGTTTGAGGGAGGAGGAGAGTCTTCAAGAAATACTTTTTAGGGGGGGACTGGTCAAGGTGATGTTCCTTATTTGAATTTTTTTTTAGGACTCAAGCTCAACAAGGATTGCTTTGTTTCTTCAAAACTCCCATTAGGTCCCATTATGAGTAAATTTTTTGCTAGAAACTTCTTCAGAAACCACACAAATAAGATTTCTTTCAATAAAATGGAAACCAAGAGGTTTTCCATTATCTGATGAGTGCAATGTTGGAGCAAAAGTTACATAATAGCATCCATCCCTAAAATTAACTCAACATTGTTCATAAAAACTTGTGGTTACACCTGAAAATACAGGCCCTCTAAAAATCAATCAAAATTACTATTTAACAGAGCAATTTTTTTTATTTGTTCTGACATTGCATGCAAGTACCACAAAAGTCAGGGAATTAAAATGTTCAACTTTTTTACCAGTTGAATCTTTTTATTTGTATCTATTTTTTTCATCTCTGTCGGCCTAAAAAGAAAAATGCAGAGCAAGAGTCATATCGCTCCCTAGCAGCACCGGCAAATTTCCGATTCCGTGCGATCTTGCCAAACGGCGCGAAACGTTAGCTCCCATTCAATTAAAATATTCGCATGGAAACATGAGATTATATGGAATAACGGCTTACCACGACGATGTGAGAAAGAAATTAAAATACAGTGAAGGAAAATTCGCTTGTACAAGGTCTGAGACCCATTTTGGGGAGATGCAGAGTAAGCAAGCATGCAAGATTGGTGTATAAAAATAAATAATAAAAACCAATTTAAGATATTTTCCCCATCTAAATTTAAAAAATGCTCCGCGTTGATGGATTCAGCTTTTTCGTCGATTATCCCCGCGATAATTTTTTCCGAGCATTACTTAATTCGGAAAATCATCAAATCAGCTCTCGATTTGACGAAATCCCAGGATTTTTTTTATAGGAGGATCGAGAGAAGACCGGTGGAGAATTTTTTTATTTTCTCTTGGCGGAGTTCTCGAAAGCGACTCAACTCTGACGAGCCGTGATTTTAACTGAACTTGTTTCATTGGAAATCAGTTTGTGGGAAGAAAGTCTACTTCGTCGACATTTTTTCGAAGACTTGACTACCAGAATGAAATTGTATTTTATTTTCTTGCGTCTTTTTTTTTTCTTGTTGCTTGGGACCAGAACAAGAGGTGATCGTTCGCTGGCCTTGAAAGAAGAGCATGTAGGACAGCCAGTTACAGAGCATGTACATTGGGAGGAGATTGACACGAGTTTCGCCGGTTCTAAATTGCGTAATAGGGCGAATCTTCGTTGAGCTATCTAATGGAGCCAAGATAAAATGTGTTATTATTTACTGTGTGGAGGTGAAGGAGTATTGCTCACTAAAGGAAGTCGCATTTGACCTACAGTACCCATGTTCAAGGCGATAAAATTCATCTGCATGTCGCTGTTACGCGTACTGATTACGCATGGCCTCTCGGAGGCGAGAGCGATCGGTGCGACATCTTTCGAAAGGCGCCCTCACCAGCCAAGCGACGCTGGATCGAGCGTTCCATCCACGCTTCAGTTTGAGCCGCGTTACGGGCCGGGGAGTTGGGCGGTTCTTCGTTTCTACGTCGTGCTACGTCGAGCGGATCGGACGTTTTAGGCCCTACGTACGGGAAGCGCCAATTGTGAAGGGTGCTTCGTATCATAGACGTTTTGAATCGGTGAAGATAGGCAAATGAAGAGGCGGGTGAGATTTTCCGAGGACATTCAGAAGGATTCTGGCTTCGCTAAACCGGATCCGTCTGTACCGCGGTTGCCAATCAGTCCTATAGGAAGGCAAAGAAACCCTTATTCTATCATCCGAGAGGATGAGCGCAGCTCAAATGTCAGGGTGAGTGATTTAAACTTGGATATCACGCGCTAGCAACAGATGTACAGCCGATCTTCCAAGGCCTAGTATGACCTTGCCTGGGTGTAAGAGTATGTTGAGTGAAGAGTAAGACTCACTTTGGTAAAAGTAGTAGATTTTGAACGCAATTTCATTGAGGATTTTGCACTTCTAGCCCTAGACTTTCAGAGTGAAGGTCAGGGTTCCAAGAGCCGTTCATGGGATCTCCCATGTGCAGGCCTAATGACAGACATTTACTGTCTGGAACTGAAGAAAAGAGTGATTCACGAGTTCCCCAATAGAATATTTCACATGCATCCTTTCACCTTACCATTGTGAACCCAATAAACTGATAGGCATGCAGGATGAAATGTTCTCATTTCTTGGCATTTTGCCAAAAGATTGTTTGACTACATAGAGAAATGTTTCCAAGGGAGTATTGTACATAAAACCCAGGAGTGACTGGAATTTGGACATGATGAAGTCCCACTTGGGATGTGATTATAAGCATGCTTAGGGTTTGCAAAAAACCTAATCTCTTGTCCTCGCTGCACATGATTTGGTATCTTTAGTTCAAGCGTGGAGTCACACTTGAGGTTGCTCAATATCTGCGTTTAGGGATTTTGTGAATTCATTGCCTGATTTGATTCCCAATTTATTTTTTCCTCTTAATGTTGTTCTGTTGTGACTTAATGCATTAATGACCTGATATACATTTCAGGACCTAGTATGGAGAGTGGATTCCATTCCTGAAGCCCATGGAAGCCATAGAAGTGAAGATATCAGTCCTACTTGGGTTCAGGTGAGGGTCACCCTACAGTGTATCATAATGGTCCAATATTAGGTTTCAGCTAATGGTATGCCTTTTGTTTGGCAGCATGATTCCTTAAGAGTGAGGTTTACCAGATATACATATTTTTTTATGTGATATAAGTTGCCATTGCAAATGATGTGAAATTTTACAGCAATTCAATTTCTAGAATAATGATAACCTTTTAAAATGCACAGATCCAAAATTGAACATGTTGCCTGTGTGAGAAAGGGAATGAAGGTCAAGAGATTATTTCGTATAAGAAGCTTCAGAAGAAAATAGCTTAGGATATGTTTCATTTGGAGAGAAGGAATAAATTATTCAAAATTTTCTGCTTAAAAGGAAGGATACAAATTGGTAAGGTCACAGTGATATTAAATCACATTTAATTAGGAATTTTTGACACATTCCCTTTAGAGCAGTAGCATGGTGAGCCCTATGTTAAAAGGGAATACTTCATAATAATGGTTATTTCATTGCATGCATATTCATGCCTAACATGCAAGGTCAGACTCTTCAAAGTCCATAATTGATGGGTACATTTTGGATGGATGGAAACATGAGTCCAATCATGTGAAAATTAATCTGTTCTGTGATATGGATAATTTGGAGTTGAAGGCTGTTTTCTAATCAAACTTTCTTATTGATAGGCTATTTCATTGTCTCTTGACTCAGCAGGGAAATTGGCCTGAAAGGTTTTTCTTTGTAGTGTGGATATGATCTACCTTGAAACTTTTTTGATTGGTGTTCAAATGTGTGTATAGGCATGAATGTAAATGCTTCAGAAGAGATAGTTTGGGAATTATCCTAAAGGCTTCCATGTTCAATCTGGATTTGGTTGAAGCTTTGAATCCTTGTCATAGTTAATTAAAAAGTGGATATTATGCAAGGGGGAAAGTAGGCATTATTTTGCATTACCTTTTTTCATCATCCATGTGTACATTTATTTTTGCTGATCAATGCTGATCAGTGACTTGACTAATTGTAGGAACTTCAGAGGTTTCGAGAGGAACACTGGCAGGATTGTCATGCCGTTCCTTTGGGTTGTCATGCTGGTGATCTCGACCTTGACCATCACACCTGTAAGTGCATTATAATGATCACAACTGACCTAGCATGTTTTTTTCCCACTTTGTGCCACAATAAAGTCATACACATTGACCGTAAAATGTGCTTATGTTTGAGACCCACTTGGACATATTCACTCTGTAGTTGCTATGAAGCCAATATATTTTCAAGACTCTTGTCAAGGCAACAGATATTTGAAGAAAGCGATTCCCTTAGCTTATTGATATTTTTGTGCAAGCACTCAAGAAGAGTGACCAGGAAAAGATTCTCAAATGAAAGGGGTGATAAAAATTCTGCTAAGCATTCTGCCATTGATCCCTAGTCAGAGCTGCAATTGCTATTGATACATTGGACAGGGGTTTGAAACATGACCTTCGGTTTTGTTGGAAAGTACAGGGTGATCCAAAAATCTTCATTTTATAATGTTTGAATAGAACATGTATATATTCAAGATTTGTGCAAAGTGTATGAAAATCTATTCTACTGCAGACAACTTTATGGCCATGTCTTCTCTTATTTTTAAAGATATAAACAGATGTAAGACATAAGTACATAGAAATTGGAAATGGAACAATAGTAAAAGTGTTTTCATGTTCATTAACCTATGCAATTTTGAGTTCTCCTTAGTAGTGAAGGTAATGAATTAATGATTGCATGATTGACTAGATTTACTAACACTGCATTAAGGACTAAGAATGGTACATACTTGAAGTGGTGGACTGTCATACATGTCAACAATTTCAAAGGGTTAAAAGAGAAATAATATTCAGAATTGGGATCAGAACTGAAAAATTACCTCACTGTGGTTGAAAATGGGAATATATTCTCTGTTTGGCAATGAAACTAGCAAATCCTATTTGCCACCTGAGAATGAAAGAGCATCTAGTTTGCAAAGTTTCTTGGCATTTCTAAAGTTTTACTGAGTTTCTTGCATGTTCTGATGAATTTACTCAATGGAAATGAAAAATAAAGTCTGCAAAATTCATTTCCTACAGGTTTCCATCATTCCATCTTGGACCATAGATTCTTCCCGATTCCTGTATCAACCGGTCCAAATGGTTTGAGTGTTTGCAATGCTTGTCATAAGACCTGTGATGAATGCATCCCTGATGCAACAACGTTTGAAGTCTCTGTGCCATTTGGCCTCTTGCCGGTTGAGTCTCATCCTCGCTTGAGGGAAGAGGCTAAGCTCCAGCAGAAGTTTGCACTCAAACATCATCCTGGGATTTTGATTGGTTTCGAGTGTTTGAAAATCCATCTTGCAAGTCGAGGACTCAGGACTGTAATGCCTAGTGACACCCTTGCATTGAAGCATCACATTTGACCTAGTGTGGTGATCTTTCCTCATGTGAAATGGTCTAATCAAAACCTTATGGTTCCATAGTTTATTTTTATACATTCTACTGTATTCCTATTAAAGATGCAATGATATTTAATTGGTGTCAACCAATAGTCTCAATATGATAAATGACCTGCTTGTAACCAATATTGGTTATAAGCAGACTTCTGAATTGAGGATGTCAAGCAAGGGGTGGTTGCTGACCAATTTTTCTCATAGGAAGGTTGAAAATGCTTGAATCTAACATTGAGCCTAACCGCTTGTGCATGAGGTGTTAACATAAGGAATTATGTCCCCATGCAATGACATGCTCATCAATGGCTTTCCCTTATTGGATGGTTGTCAATTTATTTTCTTCGATGAAACTTTCAGGAAAATTTTTAGTCCAATTTTCTGTTATAAAATTCCTATTGAAACTTGGTGGATCTCATGATAGAAATCATGTGCTAATGATTGTCTTCATTTGAATGAATTCATAGGCCTTGAATGAGTGGAAATACAAGGGGGTGATCAGAAAGTGACAACACAAGGCAATTTGTGAATGCAATTTATTTTAAAACCTGCTATGCATGTATTGTGGTATTACTTACCATAAACTACTTCTCCACTTCTTTTTTTTTCATCCCTTGCTTTGTCATTGATTCAAGTGGTAAGGCAGATCCAATTTAGACAGAAATTCTGGAAAGTGGAACTCTCATGTTCTTTTAAACAAAGTACTTAAGTTTGTTGCAAATAAAGACAATAATTGATTAATAAAAGGAAGAGTCATACACTTTACTTAATAAGGAATTTAGCTGCAAGAATTCTATGAAGGTCTTAAGATACATCCATTGAAACACAGAACTTCTTTAAGAGGATAGCACTATTCAATATAAGAAAGAAAAATTGAATGAGCGAATGTTCTTAGGCAAACTTCTGATCTTAAATGAATCCTCTTTATTTTACTCTTTCATCTCTCTTGGGTCACACTTCCTCACAAAACCAAGGGGACTGGGGTAACCTGATAGTTTGTTGATTGTCAGCTCTGGATCTGTATCTGGATGGGTAAGGTCTCCGAATAGTGACTGACTCCGGCATCCAAGTTTCCTGCCCATATCCTTGGTACTTCTGGGAGGAGCACCTTCCTCAAAATCTGGGATCTGGATTGAATATGGAACTAGGACAACTTATAACCCATTGGCTAGTTTGGAGGTCAGATTAATCTATTTGATGTCAGGACCTTGTGACTTCCTTACTGTGTTTTATGAGTTTGGTTTTGTGTGTTTACCATAGTCAGTTCCCAGGGTTCCCCATCCTTACAGTGACAAGATATAATCATTCTCACTTAAAAATTAATACTTGACTAAATTATGTATTTTTCCTCGATTAATCTTAAAATTGTCATTAATTATTTCGTAAAAGTTGAAGCAATTTCCATCAACATACAATATCAAGATTAACAAGGTACCAAAAGGAAGATGTTTTAGTAAAGAGTTTGAAATTATTAATATAGTTTCATTTTATTGTTACACATCATGATGAAAGGGAGAGAAAGGTTGTGGAAATGATGGAACAGAATGGGCCGAGATTCCTGCAACTCTTTTTCACACTTCTGGAGGAATAAAATGGTTTAATTCCTCCTTCCCCCTCTACAATAATGACTTCCTCTCCAATTACTGTAGAAGTACACCAGTCATGTGTGCTTAGGGAAACAGAGTGGGAAAGTTAGAGGCTAAAAGGAAGGACGACCCCATTCTTCACAACTGTATCGAAGATGATCGTGGACCTGCCAGATGCAGGAGCTGTTGAAGAGGTTTGGGTGGGAAGTCCTCACAGTCCTGGTCATGCACCCTGTAACTTCCAACTGTTCAGGCCATAGAATAAACACGTTGGTGGACATGATTTTAATGCAGATGCTGCAATTCAAAATAGGGTTCAAGAGTGAGTACACACAGGACACGGAATTCTACGAGGATGCCATGGAAAAGTTGGTTCTTCAATGGGACAAATGTCTCAACATGGGTGGTGACTGTGGAGAAGTGGTGCAGGGTATGTACTACCACAGTATATGTGTGACAGGTTCTAAAATGAAATGCATTCACAATTACAGGCCTGGTCTTGTTACTTTCCCATCGCCCATCATAGGTATCAGTATCTCTTTCCCCCCCCCCCCCCCAATATTCACTAATGGAATATCATAAATTGGCCAAAAGGCAATATCGTTGCATCTCTATTTTTTTAGAATTACTTTCACTAGTTATGCCTACATCTTGTGTTACATGAATGCCTAGAATCTTTAGCAAGAGATCTAGTGTGTACAAATAGTTTGGTTTCTGTGACCTTCATAACCTTTCTTGCAAGAATAATACCTCTACTTTAACAAATTTTCAAATTGTTTTTTTTTTTTTATATTGATGGTGCTACCATTCTTAAGTAGAGGTTGATTAGATACTAGTAAGGGAAGAGACATTACTAGTAATGGAAGTAGATTTACTGGAATGGCATGAAATGCTTCTAGTAGGGGTTGATTAGATACTATGAGAGGAAGAGATGTTACTTGCAGTAGCAGAGGAATTACTAGTATGGCCAAAAACGTTACTAGTAGTGGATTATTAGATACTAGTAGGGAAAGATAGGTTACAAGTAGTAGCAGAATAATAGTTGAGGTATACTTGAAATTAGTTGGGGAAGAGATGTTAGTAGTAGTGACAGAGAAGTTACTAGTAGTGGTTGAATAGTTACTAGAAGGGGCAAAAAAGTTACTAGTAGTGGTGAAAAAGTTGCTAGTAGTGGCGGAACAGTTACTAGTGGCAGAAAAGTTACTAGTCGTGGCAGAAAAGTTACTAGTATACTAAAAGTTCCAGCATATACAAATGCAAAGCCCCGCCCATCATTCCTTTGAAAATTTTCATAGTTTTAGAAAGTGTTGCAAGACTTTCTTTCCAACCCAATAATTCAAAATGTATTCTCCACCTTTACTAAAAGGGACACATGAAACGATGTTAAGTCAGACACACTAGAAGTCATAGAAGTAATGCTTTTGATAAAAATCAAGACTTTCGTCCACGTATTTCAATGGGAACGTACTTTAAATACATGTTTGCCATTTCGCAAAGAATAAATGAATTAATCACAATCCAAGGTAGTGGAGCGCCGAAGGCGCGACTATAGCGAGTTTATTTGCCCTTCGGGCAAACAAACTCGCTCGTTGTCTATAGTTACCGTAGCAGCAACGTCAACAGTCGAGACAACGCCTCCTACTTTGTCGGTTAATAACAATTCACCTTAAAAGGTGTACAGTGCAATGCTGTTGCTAACACCTAAATGAAGCTCTTTAACGTTAGAATGGTTGAGTGCTTCGAATTTTAGACCCTACAACCATATAACCATCGTAAGCAACCATCGACTTATATCGTTTAATAATTGTTATGCACAATATAAAGAGATCTACGAGGAGATGAAGGCAGCGGCGATTCGGCGAAATCCAAAGTGTATGGTGAGTTTTTGTCAAGGTATTCCCACCCAACTGTTGGATATGTCTCTCCGGATGTGCACAACACATGCATCATAATTGACGATCTGGAACTTTAAGCCTTACAATCGAATTCCGTGTTCCAGGTATTTATGGCTGGTCGTTACCTTAGAGTTGAATGTTTGCTGACATTACATATTTCCCTGCAGTGGAAAGTACAGAAGAGATGTTCTGCTAAACGCCCATTACCTTGTATTATTCAGACTCAGCGAAACGGGTCAGGTTCAACCATTTGCATGAAGAAATTTTGGCGATGGTAGTGACTTCTTAGTACGGGTGTATGAGGACAGTGTACTCGATCGCGATGGATATGGGTATTTATTACTCGATCTCCTGCCGTCCTCTTCCACTGCACATCTGCTCACTGTCCGAACGAGAATATTTTCACTCACCGAACCCCCTTCAATTTACGTCCGTGGAAAGGTATAGGCAGCAACAGCAACAATAGTAAAATGCTTAAAAGAAGCAAAACCTCGATTCGACGCTTCACTTCTTACATGAAGTGATTGTACCGAAATTCAAATAATTCACGGTGATATGCCAGCCCTGAGAGGCTATTCACGTCTGTCAGGAAAAAATATGCACCTCTAAAAAGACGGGATGTTTTCAATTTTCTAAAATCTCAACCATCGTACACATTGTCAGAATGAAAGGAAAATTCGATCGGCGCAAGTTCCAAGCTGGTGGACCGCACTTGATCCTTGCTGCGGATCTCATCGACATGCAAAAGTGGGCGAGTGATAACGAGGGGTTCAGGTTCGTACTACTTATAGTAGATGGTTTCCCTCGCTTCGTCAGTGCATTTGCCCTCAAGGATAAGTCAAAAGAGGAGCTAGCAAATGCTATGGAGAGGATTTTCCGAGAGATACCCGGCTACAAAAAACTACACGTTGACCACGGTCGAGAGTTTTACAATAGGACCATGGATGCTCTTTTGAACAAGTATCGAATTGAACGGTATACGGCTGAAGATCGATACTTGCAGAGAGAGCTAATCTAACGTTACAGAAACGTCTCTAGGATTCTGCACGACAAGAACATGTTTTCCTGGGTTTCAATCTTGGCGCATGTCGTCATAGCGATGAATGACAGCCCCCATTCTGCCTTCAAAGGGAAACTTTCACCCCGGCAAGTGCACGAGGGGAGGACGGGGATAGAAAATGAGTCCCTATTCCGTCTGGTCTTGGCTCTGTGGAAGAGAAAAAAGTGAGGCGAACAAAATTAGAACAGCTGCAAAAACAACGAGATAACGTAATCAATATCAAAGTGGTTAGTGTCGTTAGGATCAAGGAGAATCCCTTTCGCTTCGCTCGAGGATATTTCCCATTAAACAGTCGACCACTATATAAAGTTGGTCAGATAATGGATGCGGTTCCCCGCCTATATAAACTGACAGAACTTGACAATGACAATCACATCCCTGGGGTATTCTATTTTGGGAGAGTTGATTCCTAGTCAGGAGGAATCTCACTATCCCGTCCAAGTCTTGGATTCTCGCGTAAATCCCGAGAGTGGAAAACGAGAGTATGAAACTCAATTCGTAGACTATCCTGACACACCTAAACAATGGACGACGGAGAGCCTAAAAAAACGTTAGATTCTTTCGCTCTAATCAAAAGACACTGGCCGTTTATCTTACATTTAGCACAAGCGACTCGAGAAAAGATTCATTGTGCTCTAAAGTGCGTGACTGAAGGGCAGCTTCGGGTTATTTGCGAAATATTCAAGAACGTACTCTTAAATTCTCTGCACCTTCCCTCCGAGCAGATCCTACGTGCTGCAAAACGTAGCTGCATTAAGGTTCACACCAATAACGGGGAAAAAATTTTGCCAATGGGCCTATTATGGAGTCGATGCTGTCCACCTCTGGTTCCGTTGGAAGATCGTGGGAACGGAAGAGTTGGGGAGGGGGAGATTTTGAGATAATCCCATGATTGAATGGAGACGAGAAAGAAGGAGTCAATGCAAGAGAAAGTCACAATCGGATATACATTGCAGAGAATAAGGATTTTGTAAAGAACGAGATACGTTATCTCCAAATCCTTCCGGTCCCAACTTCCTACCCTACTCCTCCGTGCCCCTATAAATACCGCAACAGTTTGACTAGCAACTCGAGTTCAACTTCACCTATTTTCTACTTCCGGAGTCCAAGTTGAAGTTCAGCTCTTCTCACCATTTACAGTACACTACGTTGAAATCGCCAAGTTCTGTTTTTTGCTCTTTTCTGAATATTTTCTACCAAAAGTCTTGTTTTGTGCTGTGCCCCACATTTTTTCTTACTTCAATTCTCTCTTGCTTCGTTTTTCTTGCTTTTGTGTTTTCTTCTTTCTCATTTTCAAGCATGAGACCTCAGGAGTTTAACCGTATTCTCTCTACGGACGAACGACTTTTGGAGTTTCTGCAGCTGGAGAGACTCATGACACCAATCAGCGAGAGGATTTGCCCTATTTGCAACCAAGAACTTCGACTCAGGTCAGTCTTACTGTCATGCAACGGTAACCATAGTCATTCCATTTCCATCATTACTGAAACAAATTTTTTAAATGGAGGATATTAAGTCTACTATTTCGCAGTCACATTATTACTACAAACTACGACTATGTTGCTGGTAGTGCGTATTCGGCACCATTGGAAATTTTCCCACAGAATCAGGAAGAGAACCACAATGTCCGCTTTTCTAACTAGATGCGATGGTAACAAGAATGAGCATTCTACCCTGAAAGGTTCATTTTTCGTCCATGAGGACCAGAATGGGAGGACTCAGCGCCGTATGAGCCCAGGGAAGGTGCTGCATCTACTGCTTCTTTGGAGCGAAGAAAATGCATGGTGAGCGCGAATTTAAAATACGAATGTCTCCTGAGGGGCAAGAGAAAGTACAAACGGGGGAGGCTTCTTCAGGGGGACATTCATGTCGAACCTGGAAGGAATCATGGACACACCATCGATGGCCAGTGGGTTTTGGGCTTTGCCCTGACGGCCAGGAGAGACAACCGTGATCGAAACAACGAGGAAAACTGCAACCCCCCCCCCCGCCCATGAAGACCATCGAGGTACGATGCCTTGTGGTGTAGAAGAGGGATCGAGAAATACTTTTCCCTATCATTTCCAGGAATGTTGTTCCTGGAACACAGATTTGGACTGATGGATGAGCAGCATATGGTGCTTTCCTGACAACCGGTGAGGATTAAAAAATATATTGAACGGTATGCTCTACTGTTCATCAGCGAATTTTTCACCTGCAGTACTTCTATCATAGGATATCCACACCAGTGGGAAAATCACGGAGAACTTCGTGAGCCCCGTCAATGGTGCTCACACCCAAAACATCGAGCGCTGCTGGGTGGAGGTTCGCAGACATTCAACGAAACCAGAGGGGGACGACACCTGGTCTATTGCAGACTCACCTGGCCGAGTTTTGGTTTCAGCATCGGTGCCGCATGGAAGGAGTGGAACTTTTCGAGGGGCTCCTCAATGTGATTAAGAAGGTCTATCTTGTGTAGATGTGCGCCCTTATTGTTCCCATTTGATTGTCTTAATTTTTTAGTTTTGCTTTCATGCTGTGTGTGTATTGCATTCTCTATACAGAATGAAAATGTTCACACTCATGCATTTCGTCCATCCGTTACATACATGGCCATGGTGGGCTTATGGACAGGAGAGAGGGGAGGGGGGGAAGAAGTGATAGTACATATGTGACATCCGTGCGAGGCAGAGGATGGCCGCCTGGGAGAAGACAGTGAATATTGGAAGCGAGTCTCTTTTCGCGTTAGTCAGGGGGAACGCGATTAACCGTTACCGACGGCTTGTCCTGTCAGTAGAAAGGCCGGCTCCTTTTACCCTCCGTTTAACCGCTCGTTACTAATTTATCTTTCCTTTTCTTTCTGCCTGAAGTTAACGTTAACAGTCCGTTAATAGTATTCCTCAAACGCATTGCCCACGTCAAATACATTGTTCTTATTTGCATGACTTATGACAAAAGACATAGAGCTATATAAGAAATGTACAACTTAATAATAGTTCCTAATGCCGTGTTTCAAAAAGGTGGAGATTGACGAATCGAAGTTTGGAAAGAGAAAATATCAGGAAGGAAGGCAAGTGGAGGGACAACGGATCGTGGGTAAGTATAACATAAAAACGATGACAATCAAGACATCGACGCGAGAAAATTACTCAATAAACGAAGCAAACTGAATATTATTCAAGGCGGGATCTGTGGGGAAACAAGGGACATTTTCCTATCAGAATGTCCCGAAAACAAACGAAATCAAACTGTCGTCCTCGACATCGTACAAGAGCATGTTCATCCGGAATCCACCATCATCACCGACTGCTATTCAAACTTGGACGAGCAGGGATGGAAGCACTTAACAGTGAACCACACCCACAACTTCGTTGGTAGGTCTTTGTGACAATGGGCATGAAAAAGTAAAAAAAAAAAAAGACTATGATACTGACTTGCAGATCCGACGACTCATGCCCACACTCAAACAATGGAAAATACATGGTGGCAACTAAAACGTTCCCTGCCAAGCACTCGTACTCGGCACCAGGAGGACTCGGCATCACTGGAAACGAAAATTTGCGGATAGGAATTCTTCCGATTCCTTTATAGCATTTTTCGTTATGCAGCGGAGCTGTACGAGCCTTAGAGTCACTGTGGGCATCGCAGAGTAGCAAAATAAACTTGGCCTCAGGCTCATATCGAAACGGGCTTTTTACCACACACTTCCACTCTCTTCTTTCTCTGACGCATGCGTATGTCATACGAGTTAAAACCCGAATATAACCATGGCAGAGCCCTGTGGTTCCCGCAGGGATTATTTTGTTCGCGGCCCTGCATGGGCTCTGGCCATGTCAGGGATGGGCCCGTTGCCCTCCATTATATTTTTGGGGATGTGACCCTCGGGGACCCGGGGGGGGGGGCGTGGTCGAGTCCGAGGACATGACTGTCCACCCCCAGGTCATTTTCTCGAGGCAGATCCAGAAGTCCATTGAGGTTTTTTCTGTTCTTTTTTGTCAAAGACGTGGACACACAGTTGATAAATGCTATGCGCGTCGGAATGAACGTTGCGTCAAATGCAATTTGTTAAGCCATAGAGCTAATGATTGTCAGAGAAAAGTGGACTGAAACGGTCAACCACACACAATGAAAGGACTCACTCGAACGTAGCATTTCCAGGTGATCTACAATCGGCTAGTCCTGTGAGGAAAGAACTTGCCTCTGACTTTGAAGCCCCCACCCATGGCAAAATTGTTTCTTTTTGCGAAAAATTTGTTTCGACTGGTTCTAGTCATGCTTCCAACACTTTCTCACCTAAAATGAATCAGTCTACTCCCAATTCAAATTTGAAATTTCATGGCAGAAATTCCTATTGGTATCATAAGTCCTTTCGGTACGCATCTCTTGTCCATCCGCTTAGCCCGTGTGCTCGTAGGCCACTCGCATCAGGCTACCATTGCTGCATTAATGGAAAATCGTCAAGTCATTGGACGGGGAAGGGGCATCCAATTGAGACGCGTCCGCATTGCCCAAACGGGCAGCTCATTCGTGGGACATAGAATGGCATGCTTTCTGCACACTTCGCCACCGCAGACCCTTCGCCGTTGTCCAAATAGCTCGAAGACCAAATAGCCTGAGACATAATTCACCAATAAATACAAGGAGAATTCGGATCGACAGTTCTGCACTCGCGAAGTGTTCCGATGCACGCATCATTTAAAATGAAATTCTTGAACAGCACAAATGTTTTCTGCCAAGCGAAGTGTACGGGAGCTATCTAAATGGGCTCGTTTAGATAGGAAGTAACCGCAAATTGCTTTGTGGAGCGACTGGCTACACTTGAGGAAAGCCACCACTCAACAAAACTACTTTGACGCCGAATAACCATTATCTATTGAGTCCTGCAAATCAACCCGGCAATGGTCGACGGAGCCTCCCGCACTCATAATACTGAGATCGTGCAGAACAGGTGGAATAATACTGGCTTTCCCAGCCACCGC